GTCAGTTTTTTAAGTCCTCTTAATTTTTAGACACATATTTTTGGTTTGTGTTTTAACAAAGCCTACCTGACCAGTCATCTTGTCTGCACCAATGCAAAGGTTTCTGAGAGGACTACTGTATTCTCTATCCCTGTGGATATAAAGACACTGGCATTTCATTTCTTTTTTCCCTTTCCTTTTTAAGGGATTTAACTTTGGAATCTTCCAAAGGAAGTTTGGCCAATGCCAGATCCCCAGGAATTTGGGGGTTTATTTCTTTGTTTTAAACCAAAATTGTATCTGATTTCTTTTGTTGATGTTAGTGATCATCTAATCACAGAGCCGAACACTTTCTTCCCTATATAGAAAAATCAACTAAGCATGCTTTCCAATAAAATCTGTCTTTTCTAGTAGAAACCTGAGCCACTGAAAATAAGAGAGAAAAGAAGCAGAGTCAAGTCCCAGACTAAGGTCTACGTTTGAGAGGCTTTGAAAGTAATCCCTGGGGTTTGGATTATTTTCACAAGAGTTATGACGTTTTATTCAAGTTTGTTGCTCCGTTTTGCACCTCTGCAATAAAAGCAAAATGACAACCAGTACATAAGGGGTTAGCTTGACAAAGTAGACTTCCTTGTGTTCATTTTTGTTTTTTTCTTACTATATCTGTCTACAGGCAGATACAGATAGATGTATGAAAATGTGCTTGCCTGTAAAATCTGCATTTATAAATGTGTTGCCGATGGATCACTTGGGCCTGTACACATACCAATTAGCGTGACCACTTCCATCTTAAAAACAAATCTAAACAAAATTTATTATATATATATATATATAAAGGACTGTGGGTTGTATACAAACTATTGCAAACACTTGTGCAAATCTGTCTTGATATAAAGGAAAAGCGAAATCTGTATAACATTATTACTACTTGAATGCCTCTGTGACTGATATTTTTTTCATTTTAAATATAAACTTTTTTGTGAAAAGTATGCTCAATGTTTTTTTTCCCCTTTCCCCATTCCCTTGTAAATACATTTCGTTCTATGTGACTTGGTTTGGAAATAGTTAACTGGTACTGTAATTTGCATTAAATAAAAAGTAGGTTAGCCTGGAAATGAAATTAAAATTCACAAGTGTGTGGTCTTTATTTCAGTACCCAGCCCTCTTTTCTTCACCCTACCTATTCTGCTACTGCGGTATGTAGTTACATCACCACCTCCGTTCTTCCAATTAGAGAAACATGGATCTTTGTTATAAAAATCAAGATGCAAACACTAGTTCTCCTTCTTTCAATGATCTTATTATATTGTTTGGCCCCAAGAGGTGCAGCTTCCATCTTGGAAACCTTTGGATTTGATGTAGAGGAAGCTTTGCAGACACTGCTTTGAAAAGAACGAAAATGTCCCTGAAAGGGACAAATTTTTAAAATGTGTATAAGCTGCTGTCTTTGATTACTGTGTTCACGGTTTGGTGTAGCTGTATTTTCTTTTAACTTTCATCCCATTAGTAATGGTCTTTGGGAGTATCTGTAAAATATATGAACACCACAGACAGTGGGGCTGTACCTCCCAGGTTACCAACACATGTTGTGTTTGAATCTGCTCATTTCCAATACTGGATGATGTATGTAAACATGTTATGTCTCTTAGTGCAAAAAGAAACATTTTTTTTTTTTTTTTAGGGCTGGCTCACTCTGTCAGGCCTAATCTAAAGGCTAGATATAAAGTCATGTGACTGCTGCTTCAATAAAAACAAATTTATATTGGATAAAGTCTGCTCCTTTATTTGTTTATGTTGTTTATGGTGGTGTGGGATTGGCTGATATTTGTATAATAGTTAAACATGTTTACCAGCTGCTGGGGGGGGGGGGGAGGGAAGGAAAGGAATCCATACAGACATAAAAGATTGCACTTGTGGGATAGGCCTCCTTGTGGCATTGAAGTGCATTTGTTTGGGATTCACTACTATTTTATTTCCTACCTTGTTTTGAGTTGGAATTGAGCAAGATAGCCCTTTTAACTTAAAATCCTGAAAGGCTGCATTTTTAATGTTAAGGTCTTCCAAAAAGTGCTGACCAACCTGTCCTTAGGATCACATTTCAAGTGAGCAATGATAGCAAAATGCCATTTTACAGACACTCTAGAAGAGTAGTTAGAAAAGGGAGGGATCAGGTTGCAGAGTTCAGGGAGAAGTTTGTGAATGGAAGTGACCGAAAGTGATGGTGTGGCCACCCATTTCTCAGGTGTGAGATATTCAACCACCCACTAGCGCCAACAGATTTAGGAGCACTGTGAGCATGTTAAGGGAACGTGTCCAAGGGAAAATGGAAGCTGGTGTGTAACAGCATGATGAGCCCCACAAGTTGTCAGCAGCTGGGAAGGAATGGTCAATCAAATGTATGTTTCTTTCTACATCCTCTTTTCGCCAGAAAAGAGAGGCCACCCCAGGCCTTCCCACAAAAAGATGATGTCAAGGCTTTAAATGGGCCCTTAAAGCCTGGGGCAGGTAGAGACTGGCCACAGAATGGCTCTGATGAATGCGGAACCAGAAGGCAAGCAGTACTTACTTAGAAGGGCTTTTCTCCTGAGCTGTGGAGATGGACGCCATCCTCACCTAAGGCAAAACCTAGAAAATGAATAGCAGCCATAGGGACACCTAAAAACTGATAGTTCTACGTGTTCAAAGGCTCAGGAAAGGGAGTAATAAAGCAATCCAAATGTTAGAGAGTAGGAAAGTTGAATCTGGCTCCTGGCCCTATAAACTGAAAATCCACAAAGCTATTGAAGTATTCTGTGTGAGCTCTTGGTGTATCTCTCCTTGAATCTAAACTACACTTGGACAACAGCAGTTTTTATAATATATATACCCCATGTTCATATCAATTCAGCTGTCCACGTATTTTTAAAATCAATACGAGGACATGGGAGTTTACATCCCATCTTAATTTCACCTCACTGTAGCCTATATTTGACAACCGTTCCGGGCTCTTGAATGAATAGCACACTCAAGATTACTTCAGTGAGGAAGAGGAGATGCACATGATTTATGAATACAGTTGAATGAAATTTATATTTCCAAGGGAGTGTAATTAGACAAAATTCCTGGGATCTGTAGTGATTGTACTTGGAGAGAGTAGCTCTTTTTTCCTCGGTTTCTTTTCTAAAAATGAGTGTGTTCTATATCCTTGTTGCAAAAGTGGTGGTAAATCTGGAGGGGTGGCAAGGAATGAGTTTGCTTGCTTTCATTTATAATGTCAGTGACTGCTATGTTCTCAAAGTTTGGCCTGCTTCTTGTAAAATGGTAATAGCAAAACAAGTATCTGTTTCTTAAAATTCAGTTGTAGCTTCATTTGCATCAAAACAGACATTTAAAATTAGTTCAATTACTACATTTTTCATTTTTGTGTATATATACACAAATACACCCACCATAATTGGGGGGGGTAGCATTTTTATATGGATTTTTACATGGAATAATCATGGACAAACCAAGTGAAATCATTTTTATGTTTTTATACCAATAGCCTTTAGATGTATAAAGGGCAATAGTAAAATAAGTAGTAAAGAAATATATAATATTCCTATTTTCCACACCCAGATTTCTTTTTCCTCCAGGAAAGAAGGCAAATAAAGGTTTACATCTCTACCCAAAAATTAATTATTTAAGTCCTCTTGCCTTTACTTGATGCTAAACCAGGAACCTATTTGCTAAGCCGGTCCTTGGGTATAGAATGCCCTATGTAAAATTAGTCAAAATATAATTTTCACAAAAGGAAAAAACATTTAGTCCAAATGGCTATAAACAGTGCAAACACTTGAATATTCTGTAGCTTTCAAAATAGATGTGTAAACAGGAACATACGGTACATGCATATCTAGCAGTTGTTAACTGCCTGCCCGTGTAGCCTTGTTACACGGAACACCCCAGTGTTCCAGCCTCAGGAGCAAAGCCAAGCCCCAGTTCAGATGCCGAGCAGACCTACACCGTCACACACATGTGCACTCAGCCAGTTAGTGTCCTTCCTCCCACGAACACATGTTTCAGAGATCCCTCATTTGGGTCCTCAAGTGCATGCAGAAATTCCCCATGGCATTCCCAGAAATTCCTTGTGTCTCTTATGTCACCTATCACTGCTTTTGATCAAAGTTATTTGTGATTCTGCCTTGTTAAGTTGAACTTTAAAGTACTGGAGGTCAGGAACCATGTCTGAGTCAGCTTTTATACCCCACAGGGAGTTGCAAACTGTTGGTGCTTACTAATGTGTTTGAGTGGATGTGGAGACACAGAACGAAGTGCTCAGAAGGAAGGAAGAAGAGACACAGAAGTCATGACAAGCTTCTGCCATTTGCTGCAGGCCTTAAGACTTAGGTCACAGACACAAATGCACCTGCTAATGAACATGGGCCTGGAACTCACTGAACAGCTCAGGACAGGAAGCTGCGGGTTGGGAATGAATGGGGAGGGAAAGACAGGAGTACTTAGAGATAGCAGTTAAGAAACACCCAAGAAGCTTGAACTTGGGTGCGGGCATAGACTCCCAGATGGTCTAGCCCCAGTCACCTTTCCCCCTCTCCCACCATGACACTAAATCCCCAGACCATAGAGCCATTTCTAAAGGGAGGATGGTCTTGCCTCTGGATGGGCCCAACCTATACTCCATCAAACTGCCTATGGCTTCACTCTCCACCCTTATCCCCTTCCTGAAGAATGCTAGGCAGCATTGTCGGAGGAGTGGTTGTGCATTCCTCAGGGAGGCAAGACCTGTAAGGCACTGTCCGCTCTCAGCGGTATCCATCTACCTAGCCCCAGGAATGGCAGCGCCAAGGGCTCTGGCTGTCCCACAGAAGCTCACACAAGGGGCAGCTGCTCAGCCATCTGTGATGCTGAACAGCTCCCGCATGAGGGGGGTAGCGAAGGGGTGTATGTCCTGGATGCGCAACAGACGCTGGGTGTGCTGGGCATTGATGCTGCGGAGCTCAGTGAGCATGGCCATGATCTTCAGGAACAGGAACCTGCAGACCAGCCAGAGGAAAAGTTGGAGGTGCAGCCCACCCTTGTTCCCATCCCCCAACCCTGGGACTGCTTTGAAGTTGCACAGGTTTGGAGGCATTAATTTCAGAACATCCTGAGCCAGCCAAGAGATAAGGCTCAGTTGAATTCCTTAAGCTTCCCTTAGTCTGTGGATGAGAAGGGCAGAAAAGCCTTGGGAAGCCTGAGGTATGGATTTGCACTCTCCACTTGCTCTTCATGCGTGGGGCTTGAATTCCTGTACAGAGACACTTCCATGGGAAAATCCGGGCACTGTAGGGGCCAAGTACACAGGGCAATCCTAGGGAGAAATCACTGCTTTGGCTAATGGCTGTGGGTCAGGACCAAATGGAGTGGTTGTAGAGGCAAGGACTACAGGCTGCCCTGCAGATCCTCGCGGGAGCCACCCTGGTATCTAGTGTCTCAGACAAACCTCACGCCTTAGTTTCCACATGACGCCTCCTGGCTCCATACAGGGGAGGACCACGCAAATCTAGACATGGCCACCCCCAGCATCCCAGATGCTGAGCTCAAAATAAAGTTGAAGCAGGCCAAGTAAGGACTTGAGGTTTTAGACTCAGCCAGCATCCCTAGTGCAGGCCTTCACCCCTCAAGGCCCAGGCCTGTGAGCACCAGGTCTGGGCACTGCTGAGGCCCAGTGAAGGGATGGAAGCCTCTGTCTGGTGAAGCTCTGAACAGGCTTCCTCCTTCAGTTGTGACCAGAGGAAACCAAGAAGTTTCCTACCCTGTTTGCTTGGGTTTGTTCCTAGAGACGATTAGGTAATGCTCAAAAGTGTGGGCTTGTCCACTGGCGGCCAGCTCCAGATCCCACCTAGCTGGCTGTGGACCCTGAGCCTCCAGTCCCTCGCAGGACAGTGGTGGCGCCCACTCCATGGGACTGTTTTCAAGATTAAAGGTGCCACACATGTAAACTGCTTGGTACCAGGGCTGACGCTTCTCAGTACAAATGTATTTATTATCATCATTATTGTTACCCTGGTTATCTTTATCATCATTGCAGTTCTTGCTGGCTCTTGCTAGAAGACCTCGTAGGAGCCTCAGGAAAATACCTGGCCGCTCCCATCCCTGGCTGACAGGAGTGTAAAAGGCAGACGTGAGCCAGGGAGCAATGTCCATGGCTCTGCATGGCCTCTGGCCCTCCTCGGGTTTCTCCAGTTGGGCTGAAGCTCAGGCTGACTGGGCAGGAGGCCTCAGTGGAGGTCACAGAGCAAGGCCCCAAATCCCCAGCAATCAGAGGCTGCCCCAGGAATGGCTCCAGTCTGCCCTTCCGGGGGGGGGGGGGCGGGAGAGGGGGCGGGAGGACGGCGCTGGGGGAGGGTCCCCTCACACCTTCCCCGCTTGCGGCTCACCGGTGGGCAGGCTGGGGCCGCCTGCACTCGATGTAGGCCTTCAGGGCGAGGGCGAATCTCTCCTGCAGCTGGTCCACGACGCCGCGCTGCACCACACCCGGGCGGTCTGGTGGGGAGGGGAGGGGCGGCAGTGTGGTGCCAGCAAGGCCGCGGGGCCAAGACCAGCTCAGTGCAGCCCAGAGAGGGCGAATGGCCAGCCAACCACCTTCCAGAGACGACGGCACCCAGGCCGGAAGTGAGGGAGCACTCGGAGGGCTATTCATCACCCGCACCGACCCCCGGAGAAACCAACCAAAGTCCCCGTCCTGGCCAAGCAGTGACTGGGGGACAAGGCCATTGGTTGGGACCTTCCCTGGGGAGGGCGGAGGGGAGGAAGCTGCTGCCTCCTACAGCTAAGCCGAGGGGGTGTGAGCAAGCCCGGGAGCGGGGGCGCGCAGGCCAGGTGGGGTTATCACCTGGAGAGAAAAGAGAGATGGCCTGCATCAGCACGTACTCCTCCTTATGCAGCTGCAGCTTCTTCAGCATGTAGTGGAATTTCAGCACGGGCTCCAGGAGAAGCTGCTGGAAGCCACCTGTAGGTGGGTGTGACATGGAAGGGCAAACTCCTCGCGAAGCTCACCCAGACATCCCCTCACCGAGGTTCCCAACGCCCAGGTCCTGGCGTGGCTCCTCCCCTCCCCCTCCCACCCCCGCGGCCATCTTTCCCTCAGGCTGCCCTAGGGCAGACGCCTGTCTCGCACCTGCAGGATCCTCCAAACAGTAGGACAGCCGACCGCACTCCCAGGTACCGGTCTCTGCGTTGAACACCGTGTTGAATCTCAGTTGGCACAGCTCAAAGGTGGCCCCCTTCAGCAGGGAGATCTGGTCTTCGATGGACAAGTCCCTGGCAGCGAAGATGGGGGGCGCCAGGTTCCTCACGGGGTGCTACCGGCCAGCCCCCTCCCATCATGCGGAAATTGGGTGGGGGCGGGTAGCAGGGGGCCCGGCCCCCAGGGAGTCCCGGCTTTCGGATTGCCTCCACTCTCTCCCCTCACAGCGCCAAAGCAGATCGCTCCCCCCACCCGCACCCCCCCCCACGCCCCCGCCAGTGCATGAGTGCCATGCAGCAGGGAATATTTTTCCTTCCTGCCGTCTGTTTTAGATTTAGTATTTCTGCCCCTTCTCTCTGGACAGGCTGGATGCCCTGCTCCCAGCACTGATAGGGGCCTAGCCACAGTGGCCACCTCTGACATTCCTGGATAGACTGACGCCCTCCATATCTGAGAGGCCTCCCAGCTCCCCACTGAGGAGAGGACCCCAGGAGGGAGGATGCTCAGGCTGGCTCTTGAGGGGGCCCTCAGCCTGGCTTTGGTCTCCTCGGAAATTCAGTCCCTTGTTTTCTGCACCACCTCCCTTCTATTAGATCCATAATTTCAGGAAGCTGATCTATTCTCTCATGTTTCCCAGTGCCTGGCTCACCACCTGGCAAGTAGCTGGCTTTGCACTCTGTGCTCTCTGCTTCCAAATCTGGCCTCTCTGATTCACTGCGACCCTGTGCTAATTCCTTGACTGGGGTGAACCTCAGTTTTCTATTTGTAGAATGAAGGTGGTAGTAATGTGGACCTCTAAGGGTGGCTGTGCTCAGAACTGTGGTCAAAGAAATGGCAAGTAACTTCACACCCTGGTGTGGTGTTGTGGGTCATCAGATGTCAGTGGGGATCTGCCAAGATCCACACATGGAAGTAGGCCTTTCTCCCTACTTCCTTGACCTGATTTGCTACAATCTGACCCATGGCCACGCCATTAAATAAGGCCTGTGTGTCTCTCACAGGGCCACAGGGCGAACTGGTGTGACCTGGAATATGACCTGCCCCCTGCCTACTGCTGGAACCAGGGGTTCCTTGTACGTGTGAATCAGCTGTAGCTGACCAGGTGTGGCAAGGCCAGTGCTCAGATTTGGGAAGTGCCCAGACCCCACAGACTACCTGTCACAGGGCCGTGGTTGCCACCACACCAGAAGGTCCTGGGGCTTCTTGCCAACCCCGGTTGCCCATCATTGTCCCCACACCTGGCTGTGGGGAGCCCAAGCCTTTGGTTGTCAGGACCACCCATCTTCCTCATGGCCTTCACAACCTCCTCTTGGTGTCTATTCCCGTCTCTCCCTTTCTCCCTCTGGACTTCCTTCCTTTTCCTTCCTACTCCTTCTTTGTTCTCAAACCATCCACTTATGATTCCTGCCCTTTTGCAGGGAAATAAGGAAGAGATTTGCTATCTGAATGTCTACCACGTATGTGCTGGATGCTCTTGAGATGTTTTCTTATTTCATATAACAACCTTGCAGGTGAGCATTATTAGCAGATGAGGACACTGAGGCACAGTTGGGCTACATCGCAGGCCCACAGTCTAAAGCTAGTGAGCCAGAGGGTGAGGCCTCCACTTCCCAGCAGCACCGGGTGCTTCAGGTAGAGGGGGGCAGGGCAGGTAGAGATAAAGGAGGGTCTATTGGCACCAGTACCTCCCAAATTCAGAGGGTTCTACCCTACACCCTTTGAACGTGCTAGCCACTGCCTGCTCCTTTCCACACCACCCTCCCGGATCCTGTATCCTACCTGAAGTGGGAGATGACTTTGGCAAAGTTAATGATGCCTTTAAACATGTAGGTTGACATGTCAGCCATGTGGGGCAGCAGGGAAAAGATCTCTTTCCCACTGTTGTCGGCTTGGGGTGTGTAGTTCCAGACGCTGCCATCTTCCCCCCGCAGCCGCAGAGAGAGCTTCACTGAGCACAGATGTTCCCTGATCTGGCTCCACTTGGCAGCGTCTTCCCCCGACGATGTTTGCAGAGATTCTGGAATCTCGTGACCACTGCTGAGCACTTCTGGAAGCTGGGACAGGAGCCAGGAGGTGAAGAGAGGACAGGAGAGATGGCATGTATTCTCCCAGACAGGTTCCCACACAGGCCCAGAGGGCGTGCACAGCCACAGCGGCAGCCTGAGAGGACGCATGATAGCAGGGCACGCGCGCGCGCGCACGCGCGCACACGACACTTGTTTCTTCTCTCTGGGCTTCTGCTGTCAGGTGGTGCGCTTTCTGGATCTGCTTGCCCGTGTTCCCTCACATCCCTGCTTGGTCTGAAATGGGTTTGCTCTCTGCTCAGCAGAAGGTAAGGGGTCTCTACCTATGGGTGTGACCCAAGCATCCCTGACTTAGAAAGAAGGTTCTGGGAGCTACGGATAGAAAGAACAGACTTCTGGAGCCGCTGGCTGCCAGCTCTCTGAATGGAGCAGGTCACCCAAAATACCTATGAGCACAGAGCAGGAGGGGGTCACTGGGATCAGACACGGCTAACATTGCAGGGGTCACAAATGTTTCTTAGATCTGTAAATCTTGTTCACAAATGCCATGCCCCCAATTGGTCTTGATCCGGTCCTCATAAAGCCCAGAATGCCAACAGCCCTGGGGCAACTCAGCTTTCCAAAACTTTATTCATGGCTCAGACCCAATTGCTACCTGCTGTGGAGGGAGAGAACAGAGATTCTCCAACCTGACCATGTGTCAGAATCACCTAGGGATTCTTGTCATAACACTGACTGCCGCAAACCCCCCGCCCCCGCCCCGCCCCGTCAGAGTTTCTGACTCAGCAGCTCTGGGAGGATCTGAGAACTAGGATTTCTAACAATTTCCCAGGGACACTGCTGCTGTTGGGGCAGGAGTCACTCTTTGAGAACCCCTGGGCATGAGACTGAGGTTTTGAAGAGCTAGCGTAATGGCTGAGCCCACTAGAATCCTCCTACCCGGAAATCCTTGAAGTGGGAGAAGGTGGTGTCAAAGGTTTTCATCTGAGCATCCATCAGCTCTCTGATCATTGTCTGCTGCTCCTCAGTCAGACTCTTGGCTCCCAGGGGCTGAGTGCCCATCAGTTCTCTCTTTTTCCTCCTGATCAAGGCCCGCCTCTGCTCCACAGCCGCGTCAGACATGATCACTGCAGGGATAACCAGGGGCAAGTTCAGGCGCCTGCCAGAGCTTGGCCACACTTTGTGGCAGCAGGAGGGGAAGTGCTGGTGACAAAATCCCTGCCTTTCCTAGACTGCAGGCTCCCTTGGTTAAAGGGGGAGAATGAGGTGTAGCTGCTGTGCTGCCCACCACAGTGGGGTTTGGAAAAATGTTGTAGAATGGTGGGAAGAGCTCGGGCTGTAGAATCAAAAGGTGCTGGGTTTGCACGACAGCTTTGCCATTTACTAGTAGTGACCTTGAACAAGCTCCTTACCAGGTCTTGGCTTCAGTTTCCTTCATGGTCTGGAGTGGGCATTGTGTGGAAAATGCCTCACAGAGCTCCTGGCATGTAGTAAGTGGTCAGTGGCATGTGATCGTGTCATTTTTTTGTGGATTAGGTAGCAATAAGACTCCAAGGTTTCTGGGTCTCCAAGACCCTAGAGAGCTGGACTGCTTAGCAAGAAATATCAACTCCAGCTGCTTCCTATGTAGCCCGCAGCCTTAGGGCCTACCATGGATTTCTGGAGCCCACTTATGTGCGTGGAGCAAAGTTGTGGGACTGGTGTGAGGAGCGGCAGGGACAGCCAGCGGAGAGCCTTGCTCTCTGTCCACATGGCTAGAGAACTTGTCCCCTGAAAGAGGCTGCCCGCTCTGTGACCAGCGGAGAAAAATCTACACTGGAAGCTTCCAGCCTTTTCGCTATTAGCTTTGATCTCAGAGTGACCTGGGAACACAATGATATACCAAAGGTTGGCAGGTAGAATGAGGGCATCCCCTGGCACCTGTCTGCAAACAGTTCCTCAGTAGGACACCGGGTTTGGGAGGCAGATGGGCACCGGCTGCTGGGAGGTTGGGGGTCATATCACACCATAGGTCTCTGACTTCCTTCTCCCAAATTCGCTTCAAGCAATTTGGCTAAAACACCATTAGAACCCGTATGAAGGGGACAAAAAGAATCATGCAAGGGCTCCTGAGGGGAGCAAGAGGCATGAGATGCCCACCCCACCTGCCAGAGCAGAGAATAAAAATGCCCTGTATCTGTCAAGTCCCTCTACTACAGGCCTGTGCTGGTGCGGGCAGAGGACCCACAAGCTCTCCTCCTCGAGTTTGCCAGCTGCACCCAGGCCACATGCACCTGTGTGCACGCGCACACTCACGGTGCCTGTCTGTACATGTGCTCGTACACATCCCCATGCTCACTTCCTACTCAGCCCCCCAGGGACACCTGTCCCAGACTCGGTGCCCTTGCACCCCAGCCCAGCCCAGCCCAGGGCGCTTCCCGCTGCTCACTCTCCTTCTTCATGCCACTCTCCAGGCACTTGCGGAGGCGGCAGGCCTGGCATTGTCGCCGGGTCTTCTGGGTGATCTCACAGGTGCCCTTCTGAAAGGGGCACCTCAGCCGAGTGTTGCGTTTCATGGCTCTCCTGTGAGAGAACAAAGAGCAAAAGGTAGGTTCCTTTTTTGCAAGGTACCTTGCAAAAGGTAGCAAGATGGAAGATGAAGAATTCCCCTGAGATATTCATGGCTCTCTTGAAACATTAGGAGGCTTTTGAATGGGCCACTGCCCCATACTCTGACCCCAGGGGAGAGGTGAAGCTGAGGCCCGCAGCAGTGCCCAGCGGGTAAGGGCAGAACCCCAGTCAGACATGACCCACTGCCAGAGGTGGCAGGGGGGTAAATGTTGACAGGTGACTCTACCTGAAAAATCCCTTGCATCCTTCACATGTCATGACATTGAAGTGGTAGCCAGTTGCCCTGTCCCCGCATACACGGCAGATTTGGGGACGCCCATCTCCCTCATGTGTGCTGTCACCCGTCTTCCCAGGAGCTGAATCTGCTTCTTCGCAGTGCACAAGGGCAGCATGTTTCCAGCTTTCTCCAGGTCTCTCCTCCAGGTTTGCAGCCGGACCCCTTGGGCAAGAAGTGAAAAAACCACAGGGAATGAAGGGGCTGGACAGAGACATGCTGAGGCAGGCCTCACTGTGGTCGCTCACATGTGGTTCTGTGGACCCAAGAGCTAACCCCTCGTGGAAGATCTGGGGATGAGTTAGACTTGTTATCAAGAGAGATGTAAGCGTGGCATTGTGTATACACTAATAGGGCCCTAGAGAAAGGCATGAGAACAAGAACATGGTGAGAGAAGGGGGAGGGGAAGAAATGAGAAGGAACACGAAGAGGCTGTCTGGGTTGGGTTATGGAATTACTAAGATCGGGAGCCCGTGATCTGGTCAAAGGCCCGTGGGCCAGGCCACTTGTTGGAAATTGTTCTGGGACTGGGGTGATGGCCTCTCAGGCATGTTGTGGTCCAAGCTCCCAGAGAAAGCTGAAAAGCTGGGCAGAAAGAGAGATTTCAACTGAGTAACCAAGCAAATAGGGAGACAGACAGAGAGGAGTCAGGCTCAGGAGGCAGGAAGAAAATGGCCCAGGTCAAGCTGGAGCACAAGTGAATAATCAAAGAACTTGTGCCCATTAATAGAGCTGTGTTCAAGAGCTTGCCCCAGGAAGCTTGCACCTGGACAGCGTGAATTGCATTCTGTCCTTGGAATGAGCATGGAGGATGGTGAGCAGAAATGGGGAGCTGTCCCAGTGACCATTCCTCTCAAAAGCCTCTCTGGGCACTGATTGCTAAGGGCTGCTACACCGCAGATGATGTTGCCTTTTCTTTTTCTTTCTTTTTTTTTATTTCTAGGAGAGAGAGAGAGAGAGAGAGACAGCGTGAGCAGGGGAGGGTCAGAGAGAGAGGGAGTCACAGACTCCGAAACAGGCTCCAGGCTCTCAGCTGGCAGTCAGCACAGAGCCCAACGCGGGGCTCGAACCCACGAACCGCGAGATCATGACCTAAGCGAAAGTCGGACGCTTAGCCGACTAAGCCACCCAGGCACCCCTGACGTTGCCTTTTCTAAACCCCAAATACAACTTTTAGTAAAATTTCAACACTCGAGTTTCTATTTCCAAAACCATGGCAGATGACAGCAAGCAGTTTCACCTGTAAAGATGAAATAGAAATTAATCTGTCCTGCAAACCTGGCTCTCCAGAAAACAGAATAAAATAGGCTGACAGGAAACTTGAACTGAACAGGTGTGCAGGGAGTGTCCCCTGATTTTTCAGATCATAACCCTGACCTCATATGGATTGGCAGACAAAACGTAGAGTATTCACAAAAACCTGAAGAGAAGGATTTTATTTAAAGAGCTCTTGCGTGGGCAGTGTTCCCAGACACCCTCAGAGGCAGACACTCTCCTCTTCTCTAGGAGAACCACTTTTCACCTAGGCATAAAGAATCATACAAGTAGTTTTTAAGAAATACGAGCAAAAACTCACAAGTCATGGACAAAGGCTAACACAGCACCCTGAACAAGAGCCAGCAAAATCCTACAGCAGAATTAGACATGTAAAGAATTGTCCACAAAGGAACGAAGGGGAGGGCGCTTTTACTTGTGCTGTGTCTGACTGATACAAATTCTCCAGTTCCGTAATGAGACGGTATTAGGATTAATGCCAGAGTCTCACCTCGGAGCATTTGTGTAATTTTTACTTTGTTTTGCCTAAGCTTATTGTTAAATAGATCTGGTACATTCTGTAGTTCATTCTCGCATATGATCAGGAAACCCCTGTAAGAGACCCCGTGATAGCTATGCTCCAAAGTGGCTCCCAACAAACCATGCCTCCTGGGGGCCACACCTTAGTTCCGTCCTCTCCCGCGAGGAATCTGGGAGGGCCTGTGACTTGCTTTACCCAGTAGAATCATGGAGCGGGGGGGAGGTGACACTGTGCCCGTTCTGGGCCGAAGCCACAAGAAGTCCGAGGATCCTCTGCTTTTGCCCTTTGGGGGAACCCTAGCCCACCGTGTGAGAAAGTTGAGCTATGCCACTGGAGTGATCACGCCCTGATGGGACCACACGGAGGGGCCCTGTGAAGAGAGAGAGCTCTGACCTGACCAGATGACAAAGACTCCACTGCCCCAGGCTTCCAGCCGTCCCCGCCAAGCCCAAGACACATGAACAAGCCCTCACGGATGTGCCAGCCTAGTGAAGTGTCCAACTGATGTCATGTGGAGCAGAACTCCCGACTGAGCTCTGCCAACAGAGAATCATGACAGAAATTAAATGGTGGCTGGTTTGGGGGAGTAAATTTTGGGGAGGTTGTTACATGGCAAGAGATAATGGAAACAGAACCCCTAGAGTTTTGATAGAAATAGATCTGACCTAGTGTGAATGGGATGCCAGCTGATGCTGCAATTCTGTCCCTACTCCCCCCTCACATCAGTCCTTACAGCATGGTGCCCTGTGGGCAGGAAAATGACAATGACGTAGTGACTGGTATGTGTCAGCCACATCTCTCTTTCATGTGAATTTAATAAGACGAATTAAACATGTAGTTTACATCGAATCCAGTTGTGTCTGCTCTGGGCGTTGCACCTGTTCCTCACTGGGGTTGGTAATCTGAGCATTCGGAGAATGTGCACTACAGGGAAGACAAGTCTGAGCTTGGGGAGAGAGAAAGGAAGGAGCAAGGTGCATCCCAAGGCGACAGTGGAGGGACATTCTAAAGGAAACATGAGTGAAGTGTGTGCTATGGAAGGAGCAAGGATCCTCAAGCAGGGCAGGGGGAGGGCTCGGGGCTGCAAGGGGAGCCAGGAGAGGACCACAGAGGCAGCCTCGGCGGCTGAGAACTGAATGGCCCCTGGGCGAGCTGTGATAGCGGAGGACAGTGGCTACAGGAGATTCACACAGACATCCTTGCAGAGCACCCATGCAGTGCTGGTTGAGTAGCTTCCAGTTCAAGAATGAAGCTGAATGAGACCCTGTCCACAAACCCGACACCTGCTGATCAAGGGAGATTGAGCTGTGAGAGGCAGCACACTCAGCCTGAATGTTTACACAACCTGGATGATACGGGCTGGATGGCTGGTCACCATGAAAGACCAAGAAAATCAGAAAAGCATCTGAATATACACACTCCTCCCCTGCAGCAGGAACGTGTGAAAGGTAGGCTCCAGGGAGAGCATCAGTGCCTTGGATGGGAAGGGGGGGGTGGAAAGCCATCCACTCACGACCTTTGGATCCGGATATTGAGGGAGTGTGTGTGTGGGCACGAAGAGCTGTGCTATGGATACATCTAGGCCAGATACTGGGTAGAGACATGAGAAGTAACTGTCTCAGAAAGAAGGAAAGGCCCATTAGGAGGCCCACGACATTACCTTGGGGTTGCCAAGTTTAGCAGAGATGTCTGGAGGTGGAGGAGAACATTCTCACCAGAGCAGGAAGAGGGAAATGCTAGAAGAAGAAAGATGAGCAGGAGGGAAGCCCTTGCTCAGGTCCCAAGGTAGATCTGGGAAAGAGAGAACACTAAGGAAGTGAGAATCAAAGTTGTTATTTAGGAAGAGTCAAGAGCAGAGAGAAGGAAGTTCAGGGATCCACATGACCAGTGGCACAGGCACTGGGATGGGGGTGGGGCATCAAGACATGAAGAGGGCAGATTAAATGGCCAAAGGGAGATTCGGGTGATGGGTGTTTTCATAAGACAGCATGAGAAAAGAAGAGAGACTTCAGTTAATACTGGGGCCAGAAAAGAATCCAAGAGAAAGCTGTACATGATCATCTTGGAGTCACAAACAGGAGGGAAAGAGTGACTGGGTCAACAGAAGAGCACCATGGCAGTTGCCAGTGCAGGGCGTTTACTAAGTTCCCAGTCCAGCAGTTCAGAAGCTCTTCTACCTTCCGCCATGTGCGCCCCGCAACCCACCCCCTGGAGCTTGGTCTTCACTGGGGCATCCCTCCCTGCATGTCCACACGCTGCACTCTGCTCGGTAAGTTATTCTCTAGGGTCACCGTGTGAGACACGGACACTCTCCTCTTTCACTCGGCCAAGGCAGACTCTGCCCTGCTGGTGTGGGGGAAAAATTCACCAAGTTCTCCACTTAGTCAATGGGCAAGTAGAGGTGGGCAGTAGTTAGCTTATGTGGGTCTGAGTCTTGTACAATTGGAGGGGGTCTTCTTCAAGAAAAAGAATACTCATTGCAAATACATAATTAGGTACCAAAGAAGGTATGTGTCTGTAAGAAAGATTGAGAAAGCAAATCACAATGAATTACAAATATTAATATTGTCCTTTGTAGAAGACAGAATAATGGCCCCCAAAGATATCCACGTCCTAATCCCTAGAACATGTGAATGTGTTTCCTTATATGGCAGAAGGGTCTTTACAGATGTGATTGAGGGTACAGACCTCAAAATAAGGAGATTATCCAGAAGTATCCAAGTGGGCCCAACCTAATCACACGAATCCTGAAAATCAGATATACTTTCCTGGGTTTGGTCAGAGAAAGAGATGTGACAGTGGGAAAGCGGACAGATGCGCATTACCAGTCGGAAGATGGAGGAAGAGGCCATGAGTGAAGGAATCCAGGAAGTCTCTAGAAGCTGGAAAAGGCAAGGAAACAGATTCTCCCCTAGACCTTCCAGAAGGCACCAGCCTGACAACATCTTGATTTTATCCCAATGAAATTGACTTTGGACTTGTGACATCTAGAACTATAAGATAACAAATTTTATATTAAGCCACCAAATTTGTGGTAATATTGCAGCAGCAATAGAAAGCAAATTATCCTCCTCATATAACAGTGATTTTGTAATGTCATTTTATATCAAGAACAGAAAAATAATAAAGTTTTTCCTCTAATATCACTGATCAAAATTTGCTTTTTATTATGATAATGGGAAAAATTTTGATCTTCCCGTCTAGCTGAGGATTGTTGTCAAACTTAAGAAAACCTTTATCAAGATTCTTTCATAGAAGTCTTCATATTGGGAAGAATTTTGCACCGTCTAGGCTCCAGCTCCACACATTTCAAACCTCATTCCCTTCCTTTGGCCTGTGCTGAACACCTGCAGTGATGGCGGACGAGCAGCAGCGT